ACATAAGTTCTACACTTTGTGGTTAGCAAGTTGGAAGCAAGGGCAAAGTGGTTGCGGACTTAAAAATGAAAAGGAAGAGCTACTTAGTGACCGGACGCTAGCCACGTCCTGACTGGATGCTGGCTGGCGAGTCCAGTCATTTATAGGCGAGGCAGCGTGGCTGGCCGAGAGCAAGGAGGAACGACTAGACGCTGGCCCTGGCTTGATCAGCGTGTCCGGTCACTTGTTGGTTGGCGGTGTGATGGCACGATCGGACGCACCGGCCCTGTGTCAGGTGGGGCATGACGTACGATGACGTTCAGCTTGGCTTGCGCGTGCAAAGGAACAATGAGAGGACCGGACGTTGGGGCGCGTCCGGTCGACGTTGACCTAACGCGTTCGGTCGCGTGTTCGTCGCTCTGGATGCTCTCTATAAATGATCGGACACCACGCGGTAGCAAGTCCGGTCACTTTCTCAACGCGTCCGGTCAAACATTAACAGCGCGGGCTCGAGAACTTGACCGTTGAGATCTAATGCACGAGGTTTGAAGCTTAGCCACGTGGCGGCCATCCGAGGACCGGACGCTAGCGACCGGATGTTGTGGTGCGTTCGGTCAGCCCTGTCCGGTTAGCCCCGAGCAGAGCAACGACTCTATTTCTTTGGGGGCTCTATAAATAGTTGGGGTTGGCTCCAAGGTGTCTCTCTTGGCCATTTGACATCTTTGACATCCTTGTGAGCTGAACAAACTCTCTCCCACTCATCTCTCTTGCTTGATTGCTAATGCAAAGTGAGATTGAGTGATTCCAAGTATATTTGCTTGAGTGATTGCATCTAGTGGCACTTGGGGATCGTTGTGGCTGTGGATTTCTTATTTCTCTTGGTGGTTGCCACCACCTAGACGGCTTGGAGCAGCGAAGGAGCTTTGACACGTGTTGGTGATTGTTCGTGGCCGGCTTCGGTGATCGTGAGGGGTCTTGCACCTTCCCCGATGAAGTGACGCAAGGTAGCTCTAGTAAATTGCTCGTGTCATTGAGTTACCTCACTTGTGGGTAAGTTCTTGCAGTGTCCAATTGTGTGGACAAGGTTTGTGCAACACCTCTTAGACGCCGAACCACCAAGTGTTAGTCGACACAACGGGGATTAGCATGCTGGCAAGCACGTAAACCTCGGAAGAAAATTGCTTGTCTCTTGCCCTTTGGTATTCTCCCGGTGATTGAATTGATATTCATCTTGTGATTGATTCACTCCTCTACGCGGCGGTATAATCACCTTGCTCACTTATTTACTTTTCCGCAAACTAGTTGAAACAAGCTCTTTGGTATAGTTAGAATTGAGAGCTTGCATTGTAGCTTAAGTTCATCTAGTAGAGCTCTTTAGTATAGCAAGTTTGAGAGCTCTTAGTGAGTAGCAACTTAGCTCTTGTGTGTGCCTAGTGATTATAGCAACTAGAATTGTTTGGATAGGTGGCTTGCAACCCTAGTAGAGCTAGAGCAAAATTACATTACGCCGTTTGTCATACTAATCAAATTGCTTTAGTGATCTTATAAATTTTTAAATTGACTATTCACCCCTCTAGCCATATTATGACCTTTTAAAGATGCACCACACCCCCACACTGTGGTGATCCTGTGTAGAACAGAAGATAGGTACGACCCTTATCGTCGACTGTGCAGGGTTGTTCTTGCCTCACGGTGATGTGCGTGGATGCGTGCACGTTCTGCCCATGCGGAACAGGGGAAGGTTTACCACATGATCTTGGCCACTACATAATTATATATTGACAATAGATAGGATGGACCGGATGACACCAACATGGGGATCTATCATGACGTCTGAGTCTGATGTAGGACCACCACTATTTTTTTTTTGTAACCCGCCCCCTCAGCTATATGAGTGGGGACTGGGGCTTCTTTCTAACACTATGTAACTTCGAGCATCACAGTGTCAATTTGTAACCTCTACTATAAACTTGCCCGTTTAAGCTCATGAACATGATACACTACTCTAACTTGGCGTAGGGCCTTTGCTTGAACCACTATAAATCATGAGACCCAAAGTGCTAAGCCATCTGGACAAACACGCGATCACAAATTTACTAGTTGAACATACGAAACACCGACAACATGTGACTAGGTGACTTGTTTTTTGAAAAATTTATCCCTAACTATTCCAGCATCAAGCGACCATAAATAGATTTTTTTCATGGCTGGTTATATGTGGTAGATAAATGAGGTCATTTTTTGAAAGAATATCTCATGACTACAAAAGCATGCCTAGCTAGTAGGATTTATGAACTATGTGTGATAATTCTTAGTGTAGTAATGAAGTAAAATGCATGGACTTGTCCCATTTATAATTTATAACTCAACATCATGTTAAAAATTGAGAACACAAACCTATATTTTTCATGCAACTTTGTAGGCTAAATATACTAATTTAATTAATCATTTAATAAAACTTTTAAAACCTTTATTTTAAAATAACTTTATCCTTATATTATTAGGGAGTTGATAACAAGTGTCTCAACTTCTATCCTATGATTATTAGGTTGCTTTATTTAAAAAAAAAACTTTAGGATGGATTACTTGCCATGGGAGCATATTAATCTCCTACTGCTGACGGCATAACCTAAGAATGCAAGGTGAAGCCGACTTTTTATTTGCTCACGCTTTTGTGGCCTTATTATTGCTAATTTCTTGGGCTGCTAATTAAGATATTAATATATGTGTAGAAATCCACTATCTTTACCATCCGGGGAAAAATAGTAGTACTCACGAAAGAATCACCATCCGAGAAAAGAGGACCCAAGAAGACGCTAGTAGGTAATTTATTGATTATCTGATCGTAGAATCCCCTTAATAAATAGGGACTACTCTAATTCGAGAGCTACATGAATGCTTGTAGTGAACTCTGAAAAAGAGAAGTATGTAATCTAAGCAGAAGTACGTATGTCATGAACCTTAATTAGTTCATGGTAAGCATCGTCGGGAGGATAGCTGAGCAACATTGGCTTCTTAGAGCAACTTCAGCGATAGCCTGCAAAGCAGGGCCTCTCCTTTTTTATTTGACGACACCCCCATTTTTTAGAGCTTGTTTTCTAGGGTCCACTCCATCAGTGGTCCCTAAAATAGAGCCCCCAAATTCATTTCAATAGAGAATGACATATGAGACCCGCTTGTCATTGACTTTCTCCGCCAAAACACTAGGAATCAGGGAAGGAAGAGCATCGGCCCTAAGAGCGACGAGAGGAGCAGGATCCGGCCACGAGCTCTATGTCGCCGCTGAGAGGAGTCAGGACTCGGCCGCAACCTCGCTGCCAAGAGGGCCGGCCGCAACGTCTACCCGTCGCCAGTCCCGCGGGCGAGGAAGAAACGTGCACGAGCATGGGAGCGGGCAAGGAAGGTTGTGCGCGCGAGATTGGGAAGGGTGTGGACGATGATCGCGGGTGGGGTGAGGGTTGTACGTGTGTGATTGGGAAACCTGGCGGCACGTGCGCGAGGGGAAGGAGGCGGGCGAGGGAGATGAGCGGGACCAAGCAGGACCAAGAGCATGCACAAAAACATCCAAAACGGTGATTCGAGGTCCGGCACTAGAACCCAAAGGAACGAGGACTGGAGGGGGTTTTGAGTGCCCCCTCGAATTTGAGGTCTCTAGTGGAGGCACTGCTAGACCTCTATTTTTATTTCAAACCCTCAAATTTAATTTTGTTGGTCTAAGTAGAGGCCCTACTAGAGTTGCAGTCCATTCATAGTCGATATGCAAATAGAATATATGACTTAGCAATCTGGATTATCCAATCGAATATATGATATCCAACTAAGTGTTTGTTTGGATACCCATGTATTGATCTTAATCCATGTATGTCTGAGTGGTTTAGTGTGGAATTTAAACTAAACTAGATATACGCCCGTGCGTTGCATCGTGGTCACAATTTTTTGAACTGAACCTTAATAATCTATCGTGGACGCATGAGCCCTAAGGACTTCGTATCGGACGGGCGCACGTGGATCTGATCTTCGTATCATAACTGGGTAGGACGCGGATGTGTGAGCTCCGAGTGGAGTATATTCGTATCGGACGCAGGCGCGTAAGTAGGGATCAAGATTTGGTATCATCGGATAGATGATAACTTTAGAATCTTTTTAGGTGTAGAGATTCCACATGAAACCACTCTAAAACATATGGATTGAGGTGGATAGATGAATATCCAAACATGACATAATAGTATCTTTATATTCGTATACGATATAAAAAAAGTATCCAAATCCATATTTGTCATCAAAAAGATATTCCTATATATATGGTTAGATCGTTAGCACTGGACATGAGAGAGGGATGCACGTGGGCAGGAGAGATGGAGATCAAACGCCGACATGCAGACCTGCAGTGCGCGCGTGAAATATAAGAGAGGAAGAGATAAGGGAAGATATAAGGTTGAGAAGGGGACCCATATATATTTTTCAGGAACGGTTCTATATCGATTGCCTCTAGATACATTGATTTCTTTGGCCTCGGTTCTTCTGTGTGTCTAAAGATTGATACGTCTCTATTTATATAGAGGTTTACGTTGCTTGATTAGCCAACTCATAAACACGGAACTCAATTATTAGTGTTCATCTATACTATTAGGGAATATAAGGCAGAAGGTATATATATATAAGTAAAAGATTAAAGAGGCGAGAAGATATAAAAACTGGTGAAATGCACACACACAACTGATGTCTTGGTCGAAACAACCAAACCGAAACTACACTACAGTAAGATGAATTACTAGTAGGGAGTCGATCTGAACCAACAGAAAGTTTCATTTGAAGATACATATGCAGCAGTACAAAGCGTGCAAAAGCTACTGTAATCCAAGTCCATTTCCTGCTCAACCTCCATATGCAGCTGACCCACCAGTGAATAGCCCAAGTCCGGTATAATCTCATACCAGGATATGCTTGGCAGCTTTTTGTTGATGCTGACAAGGAACGTTCGCTACCTAGATGTTTCTAGAGAGCACCTCATGCCTTGGCCTCTACTTTTGCGTGGCAGTACCCTTGCTGGCTGCCCAAGATCCAGCACCAACCATCTCCCCTTGCATAGCAAATACCAATGCACCTTCCTGTTCTATCTCTCGGATAATTCGATCAAGTTTTGGAGTTTTCCGGACAACAAAACCCATCAGCCTGCCTGGGGTATGTCCCATACTAGGGTTAATCTGTCCATGGCTTGCTGGAAATGCAGCGGCATCAGTAGCAACAGGAGTACCTTCTGCCTGTCCCCCTTCTTCACTAGGAGCTTTAGGGTCAAAGCCCTTGTTGGTTGGTCCTTTGAGACGGCAAGCTTCAACTTCTTGAGTACTTTTATTAGGAGGCAACATATGTCCTTCCAAAGGTATGACGCTCGCCATTCGAATCATTTCTTGATTTGGTTCTTCGCTTGGTAGCTTACGATTAGGCTGGTCTAAGACAAGATTTTGCTGCTTTTCCTTCTCACAGTGCCCCATAGCATTAAGTGGTTCTTCAACCACAGCACCTTTGTCTTCCCTATGCTTGAATACTCCCCATGGGTAGTGTTTTCTCTGAAATGCTGCAAAATAAGAGAAACCGGTGTGTCAATGAACCAAAGAATGGAACAAGGTATCATGCATAACCACTAACTAGGCTTGCCAAAGGTCACATCACATAAAACAGGGTAAAAGGCAAAAACGCTCTACCTAGGAACATCGTCCTCGACATGAGTATGCAGGGTCATTTTGGACTATGCCTTGTAAAAAAAAACCTCTCAAGCAAGTATCATGTTCCTCAACCCTATAGACCCAGTATTTTTGTGACTATGGGCTTAACTTCGACTGACCATAAAAGCAATCAGTAAGGGAAGAGAACATTCAAAAAGAGAACACATACTATAGGTGATGATTGGACAGTAGAACAGAAGGGAATATCAACATCTCGGCTTCACCAATAATAGCTCGCAAAGCTAAATCATTTTGCATGACTTCTCTAACTAGTTGGTCCAAGCCTTCGTCTTGCCTAGGGATGGAAAAGAGGGAATTAGGCATTTTAATTCGCATGGATGGTAGAGGTGAAAAGTTACGAAAAGGTTAAGAAACACACCTCATTTCATGAGGAAAGAAATAGATACCAATGTCATCGGCAATTGGTTTTGATACCTCCCATGCCTTAGGCCACACCTCGAACCTCGAAAGCTTTTTCACTTCAACCACTTTAAGCAATTGTTTGGACAAACTCCATGCTTTCTCACATGATTTGGTCGACAAATGTCCATCCAATGATGCGTATTCCTTATCATATGTCTTAAAGATGCCACTGTTGACATAAATAATGAAGACATTAGAACATAAAGCACAATACAAGAATACTTTAAAGATTTTAAAATACAACATCTATTATACCTCCAAGTAGGTTTGTCAATGGGCTTCGAACAACTATAGCATTGTTGTTCAACGCATGATGCCATTGAGACTTTAGCATGGTCATTCTTTAAAGAACCAACGGTGTCATCCTCCACACCCACATGATTAAGATCACCACCGCCATCTCCTGCTCCATCTTTCCTTGTTACTCTGGATTGTTTGAGTTTCTTCATCTGCTTACAACTCATAGTATCCACTTGTACTCCAACATTACTATCATCATTGAGTGCCTTAGGATTTTCTGCAGACAATGGTTTCTTCCTCTTCTTGGACATGGAATTACTGTTTTTTGCATTGCAATTAGCAAATTGGCCCATGTTTCTTTCTATAAGCCCTCTTTTCTCAACATTTTCAAAACTCTATTTCATAGAAGGGTTGTCTCTTTGAAATTTCGGAAGGTCTCTACCAAATGGATATGAAGAGATGCTTCCCTGAATTGCAATGGATGTCTAACAATGTAGAATCCAGAGTATGTTTTGCCTTCGTTGTGTCTCCCTCCTTATGATATTCACCAAATTTCACATTTTCTTTGTCATTGTCAATCACAATTTCCTCTTGTCTGTCTTTACCTTCAGTCATGCAGCTGTCCTTATGAACCATATATACACCCTTTGAGAACTCCAATTTTGTAGTGCTATATTTTGCACTAGTGATGTCTTTATCAGAACTTGCTCGCTTCTTTAACCGAGATGCCGAGTCACTATAATGACCCAACCTATCGGTTGTCTTTGGAACCAACCCTGGCATAGCCTTCAATTGAGTTGGTTGTAAAGCATCATTCGCCTCTCGTTTCCTTTCTAAGGCATGTGTTTCCTTCAAGCTGTCTTTTCCATTGACTCTTGACCTCGAGAGAGCCTTCTGTTTCTCTACCAAAATCAAGCGTTTTTTGAAGCTTGATGGAGTAGGCTGCTTCATACCCTTTGATGTAGGAACATGATTTGACTTGCTAGCACCCTTTTGCTGCTGAATTGTTCACTCTTTTTGCACTTGTTGGCTGACCAATGTTGATATGCTTTGAAAGGAATTGTTTTTCTGGTATTGAACCGAAATTCACTTTATGATGGGCTTTGTTCACTTGACGCATCATATAAGCGTGAGTTTTCAAAAACTCCTTCCGAGACATCTCCCAAATTTTTTTCTTATTCCTTGATCCAGTTGCCACCCGTTTATTTGGGTCGAAAGATTTTGTTTGGCTTGGCATCCCTGTTACCAACATAGAAAACAAAGCTATGACTATAGTGCTATATTTATTTATATAACAAAATTGCAAGGCTGGCCAATTTAACATATATCGTTTAACTTGGACTCATGAAAAACACTGGTAAACCTTTCTTTTGGTTGATTTCATCTAGTAATCTAGTAAGAAGGTAGCCCAGAATATTACATTGGTATATACTCCGTTTCTTAGAGTTGCTATGTTTGGACGGGTCTCACAAAATTTAGCCGTCTCATAAAATTAAACGAAGGTAAAAGTAATACTGTGTAAAACACTGAGCCCATCCCCATCTATTATATAGATCTACAGCCAACCTAAATATGGATTCAAACATAAATCCTTACCAAAGTATATAACTTATTATTCATATAAAACTATTCATCATGCAGCATGTTTGTGAGAAATAAATTCCACCTTATATATGCAAACAATACATGTGAAAAAAAAAATGTGGAAGAACCAACTCAAATCAACGAACAAAACATTAACTCAAACCAACAAACGGAAAATAACATTAGACTGAAACATTAGGCTGACGGGTGTGCACGCATACCTTTCCTTCGTCTTCCCATGAGAAGAGAGGCGTTTGTCTTCCCGTAGATTAGATAGAATAATGAGAAGAGAGGCACGGACGCCCGAAAACGAATACCCCGGCTGCCGACTATCCTCTCAACAAAGCAAAGAGCAGGGAGAGGATCAGAGCAGAAGACAAGTGCAGGCGTCCGGCCGGGCCCTGGACTTACAGCATGTTCGCTTGCTCGTAAACGATCGTAAATTTCCAGCCGGGAACAGTGTTTTTCTCTCACACCAAACCAGCCAGCAGTAAATAATCCACGATACGATACGGCCTCCCGAACAGGCTTTATATAGGCGCTTGGAGGCGGTTTGGGTACCTGGAACCGCCACGCCGATTCGTGCGGCATACGGAGAGTCGAGGCGGTATTGGAATTTGGAAACGGAGCGCGGATATCACGGAAACCGACCCTTTGATCGAGATTTTTCGCTGCCTAGATTCTGAGGCGATTCGGTTTGGGACTCCATCCGCCGACGTTTGTATATTCCCTTTCCTTTTTTCTTTTTTTTTAGAATCTTATATTCCCTTTCCTTTGTTATTACCCGACACGCACGCGCTGAAGGCCAGCTGACGCAGTATCCATCTCCTCTTGGGCCACCAAATCCTCAATTACACATCCAGCCCAGCCCAGCCCAAATACTCGCCATTTCCTCGTTTCATACATACTTCTTAGATTCAGCTCATACAACATTTCCTTTCATATGAGGTCAGGATCTTCTTCCACGTTTGCTCAATTTTTTTTTCTACGTATAGTAGACCAAACTATATATGAAATATAGTAGGACTACAATTCTACAAAGCATCATGTATTCATGTCTTATGTACAACTCATGTCCGGCTGTATAATTTGATATAATGATGATGATACTCGTCAGTCTTCACTCGTGGATATCCAATGTCCCCAGGGTATTTATTGAGCATATTTTATTTGATAATGCTTTGATGAGGACGTCCGTCCGGGCGTGGCGGTCCAGACGCCCCGTTCTTGGGCCTGCATATCGATTGGGCCCAACAGGCAATGTTCGTTCTTCCACTCCCGAACATTTTCCCCACTCGCGACCGCCACCACTTTCAACGCGTCGTCCGCCTGCAGCGCTGCGTCGACTGCGCATCCGCCTACAGTAGTCGTGATGCGCCATCCGCCCGCCTGCTCTGCCCCGCCACCGGCCCCCATCTCGCGCCGCACCCGCCCCAATCTCGTGCCGCACCGTTTGGAGCATCCACCGTCGTGACCCATCCACCTCGCTGGGCACGGCCATGGCATGCAAAGCGCCACCACCACCCCGACACCACCAGGAGGTCGTCGGTCATTGCTCTCGACGTCCCCTTAAACACGAGTTTGCTGGCTACCGTAGTCCCCCACCAGGTAGGCCATGGTCGCTGGCAACGCCGTGTTTCAAGTTTTTTCAGGCTAAAAGCATCTAGGCCCCTAGTTGGGTTTCGGTGATTAATGACAATACGAGATTATTATGACTAACGTGTTTTGCAGAGGCAATTAAGTTAGGTCATGGCAATAGCAATTGATTGGGCAATCATGGTTGTCATGCCCCTACGATGGAAATCGTTTCAGTTTTTAAAGGATAGACGACAAGGTTAAGGATGGACTAGTTCTAAGTATCGTTTGGTGTTGAAGAGACACTTAGAATAGTTTAGGACTTTGTTTTTCCTTTGGCCGTACTATTAAGGGGGGTATGAACTAGTAGCTTGACCTAGGTGATTCTAGTGAGTTAGGTGTGGTGCACACTTATCAAATCTAGCACTAGATAGCTCCGAAGTAGCCCTAAAATCAATTGGAGCAAACTTCATTCACATATGATTTCGAGTTGGAAGTGAATGGAGGGTCAAATGACTGACCGGACGCTGGTCTGGTTGTGACCGGACGCTGAAGGGTGAGTCCGGTCAGTTCATTTGATCAACTAGAGCCATCTGGTTATGACCGGGCGCTGAGTGAAAAGTGATCGGATGCTGGGTGCCAGAGTCCGGTCAACTCCAAAGAGGTTCCAGAGAGGGAGATTCCTGATTGGACACGTCCGGTCAGTGCTGACCGGACGCTGGTCAGGATCCGGTAACTGACCGGACACTGAACAGCGAAGTGACCGGACTTGGGGTGCCAGCGTCCGGTCAACATTAGTAAGGTTCTAGAGAGCAGTTTTCGTGACCGGACGCTTCCGGTCGGTGCTGACCGGACACAGGTCAGAGTCCGGTCACAACTTAATGGCTCTTTGGCGGGATAACTGACCAGAGCGTCTGGTCACCCCACAGAGTGCTGACTCAGCCTCCCAACAGTTTGTTTTGAATGAGGGGGGGTATAAATACTTCATCTATTCATCCAAGAGAGGTCTCTTGCCCATTTGTTCAGCTGAGAAACACCCTTGAGAGTGCAAAGGAGAGCAAGAGCCTAGTGAGGTGATTGAGATTTGAGAATCCAAGATTAAGGCCTTATTAGTGCAAGGAGAGTAGCAAGTGTGCATCCACCCTTCTCATTAGGCTTGTCGTGGTCAAGTGAGAGTTCTTGCTTGTTACTCTTGGTGATCGCCATCACCTAGACGGCTTGGTGGTGATTAGGAGTTTGGTGATCATCCGACGAAGCTTGTGGATGACCCAACTCAAGTTGTGAGCGGTTGTGGGCGATTCACCGCAACGGAGTGTCGAAGAATCAGCCGGTAGAGAGCACTTGATCCTTGCGTGAATCAAGGGGGAGCTACACCCTTGCGCGGGTGCTCCAACGAGGACTAGTGGGGAGTGGCGACTCTCCGATACCTCGGCAAAACATCGCCACGTTCATTTCTCTCCCTTTACTTTAAGCATTTATATTTGAGCAATTCATTTCGTGTCATTACATTCCTAGAATTACCATGCTAGAGTAGGATTAGAACATAGGTTGCAAAACTTTTGTGCTGTAGAATAATAGAAACATATTCTAGGCACAAGGGGTGAAGTGGCTAAGTGTAGGGTTTAATTATTGAAAGAATTTTAGAATTAGCCCAATTCACCCCCCCTCTCTTGGGCATCTTGATCCTTTCAATTGGTATCGGAGCGTCGTGCTCACTAATTTAGGCTTAACCTCCTAGAGAAAGATGTCCCATAGAGATGGACCTCCTATCTTTGAGGGAGATGATTTTCCTTATTGGAAAATTCATATGGAGGCGTATTTAGAAGCCTTAGATGTTGGAATACTTAGAGCCACCTCACAAGGCTTCCCAAAACCTAAGGATCCCACCAACCTTCAAGGCGATGAAGTAAATTATGAAAAATGGAATGCAAAGGCTAGAAACACCATCTTTAGAGGCCTTTGCAAATATGTGTTTAACCGTGTGTGGAACCACAAGGATGCCCATGCACTATGGTTGGATATTTGTGCGCTCCATGAGGGAATAAAGAGTGAGCATGAGGAATGCTATCATCTTGTTATGAAAAAGCTTAATTCATTTGAGATGCTTCCTAAAGAAAGTGCTAATGAGATGTACTCACGCTTAAATGTTCTTATAGAGGAAGTTAATGGGCTTGGACTCACATAAATACAACCATCCGATGTTGTAAGAAAAATCTTGAGGGTCCTTCCCATTGATAAATATGGGCATATTGTGACCATGCTTCATCAAGGTGATCTTTCCACCACTACACCAACTCAAATCTTGAGAAAGATCAATGCACATGAGATATATATGCACATCACACCACAAGATGGCTCTTCTCCCACCAAGAAGAAAGACTTGGCATTTAAGGCTAGCCAAGAGAAGGGCAAAGCAAGAGTTGAATATGAGAGCTCAAGTGATGATGAAATTGATGATGCAAGTCTTGCTCTCATGGTGAGAAGAACCGCCAAGATGCTTATGAAGCTCAACAAGAACGGTGTCAAATTTGATAGCAAGAAGAAGAAATTCTTCACTAGCAATAGAAGGAAGCCCATCTCGGAGATGGATTGCTATAATTGTGAAGAACTTGGTCATCTAACACATCAATGCCCCAAGCCAAAGAAAGACAAATACAAGAAGTACAAGGGCAAGAAAGATGACTCAAGTAATGAAGATGATGACGGGAAGAAGAAAAACAAGCCATACAAGAAGAAGGATGACAAGAAGAAGGATTTTCACAAGAAGAAAAAAAATGGCAAGGCATACATCA